TCGACATTCTGGAGCCGAGGTATTGCATTGCACTCATTGCACTGATTTTGTGCAGTATTTTTTGAAGCAAAGCCTTTCAGAATCTATAATGCAGAGGCATTGTTATTTTTCAGTAAATGAGGTTTTAATAGGCCTAGGTGGAGTACAACTTTTCTACTTCTGTTATTTGCTGTTGTTTCTTAAATAAAATGCATGACAATATTACAGCTTTCATTGATTTATTTCATATTTGAAACATTGTCTAGCCTGTAAGGTAAAAAAAAACACACAAAAAACAATCGAATTAAATCGCATCATATTCTTGAGTATTGAAAATATTCGAATTGTTGGGTCAGGAAATCGATACTGAATCAAATCGCCAAGATGGGTGTGATTTACACCCCTAGTGAGGATGTATATCTATGAGGTCTGTGTGATACAGTAGAAATAATCCTAATTCAGCATATTTTATTTACCTTTCTGAGCGCTAAATGTAGTTAAGTTGCTGTTGTCAGTAGCTCGAGGAATAATCTGAGTAACGTCAGTACTCACTACCTGTGAAACATCAGGGACGTTTCTCAGTGGAACCCTATATACTTGCAGAAGTCACATTGGAGCATAACGGCAATCTCTACAGTAACTAGTTTGCTAGCTCTGTGTTTCCGTAGCGCAATTTCCGTAGCACAGCAATTTCTAAGGCAACACAAACATAAATATGGAGATATTACATAACATTTCTGTCTGTAAACCCCTGAAATTATTACACACTGTAGCTTTAAGATTACATCTAAAAATATAAGAATGATTTGTTACCATACATGTCTGACTTGTGCTTTTCATTGGTTTCTAGTTGCAGCCCTCTGCAGAAACTGCATGTGGCCAAAATCACAAGTTTGTTAGACAGCAGAAACTAATGCCAATCAGAAAGCAGGTCAAGACCAGGGCTCTGTAGACTGGCCACAAGCTATGACACAGTTTGCTGGATTAGGCTGGCAACTCAGAACAACAACAACATTCTCATGACTGCTTCCCCCAAGTAATCTATAGAAGATTTACATTGTAGAACGGGTGCACAATAGGGTTACTTTGAACGAGGAGTTATATAAACTGGTTTTTACACTACAGAGTTCCAGGGTGTTTAAAGATCAATAGATATTGTGAAAAAAGAATGGTAATAAATGGCTAATAACAGCAGTAATAACAGCAGTAATATTGCTAATGAAATGAACAGCAATTTAAAACTGTCAACACTGATTTAGTGGTAAAGTTACCTAAAATAAGACTTATTAGCCAAAGCAAACGCTTTTAAACTCTAATTGTTTTTAGCTTCATCCAGGCCCTGCCTAGCAGCTTGTTAGATGATGTTATCTTGCTGTCAGGCACGTGATATTGGCCCTTTTAAAGTTAAACAAATAGCTCCACTTAAAGCAATAAACATATTAAAACAATCAGTTTATTTCATGAACCACGTGATCCTTGACATTCAGACCCACGATCAGATTGACGATTATATATAAAATTCAGATATAAGATGGTTCTTAACATTTCCCCCACAGTTTTGAACTTCGATTATTAGCAACCAGAGAGGACGCTTTGTAAAAGTGTCCTAAGCAAAGATGGTTGTTCTCTGCATCCCATGCTACTGTACTGTCTGCTCCAGTGATGGGAAAACTGCTAAATGATGCTAGCCGTTGGGTTTTAAAGGCAAGCTGACAAAATTCTGGTACAATTAACATTAAACGGCTAAAAGCAAACAGGATGGCTTCCTGGGGGCTCACCGCTTTCCTGTTCATTTCCTTTCTTGGCAGTCGCTGCGTTTCCCATCGTAGGCAGACAGGGCGATGCACAGCTGGCTAGGAGCGATGATGGTGGCCGTTAGCTAACAGGCTCCTCCGCTAGCTCGATAACAAAATTCAGCTTGTTCACACCGGCTGGCTAAAAACACCATTAATGTGCCTTCTTTATCGACAAAACCTGGTCTTACTCGGCTGGCCGACTCGCAGATGCTTATAAATCGTGTCCTTTTTGCTGTTCATGTAAACATCTGCTGGAATGACAACATGATCCAGACTTTTCACCTCTGCCTCCTCTCGTCCTGCGCGGCGTTCACGTCCTATGGGAATATCCATGGATGCGTTTGATAGGTGGAACGCTGCCTTCACTGACTATTCGGAAATTACAGGTTTAGCGAAAGAGTTTTGCCTTTCGTAGTTGTAATTTTTGAAAGGTGTTGTAAGGTTCTATGTTAAGCTGTAACAGTTTTAAAAGTGTTAAATTGTTGCAGTCTATCAAAGTGTTTAATATAGTATATTATAGTATAGTATAGTGTAGTATTGAATAGTATAGTACAGTACAGTATAATATAGTACAGTATAGTATAGTACAGTACAGTATAGTATAGAATAGTATAGTACAGTACAGTATAGTACAGTATAGAATACTACAGTGCAATGTAGTATAGTATAGTATAGTACAGTACTGTATAGTATAGTATATTACAGTATAGTATAGTACAGTACAATATAGTATAGTATAGTATAAAATAGTACAGTACAGTTTAGTATAATATAGTACAGTATAGTATAGTACAGTACAGTATAGTATAGAATAGTATAGTACAGTACAGTATAGTATAGTATAGAATACTACAGTGCAATGTAGTATAGTATAGTATAGTACAGTACTGTATAGTATAGTATATTACAGTATAGTATAGTACAGTACAATATAGTATAGTATAGTATAAAATAGTACAGTACAGTTTAGTATAATATAGTACAGTATAGTATAGTACAGTACAATATAGTATAGTATAGTATAAAATAGTACAGTACAGTTTAGTATAATATAGTACAGTATAGTATAGTACAGTACAGTACAGTATAGTATAGAATAGTATAGTACAGTACAGTATAGTATAGTATAGTACAGTACTGTATAGTATAGTATATTACAGTATAGTATAGTACAGTACAATATAGTATAGTATAGTATAAAATAGTACAGTACAGTTTAGTATAGTATAGTACAGTATAGTATAGAATAGTACAGTACAGCATAGTATAGTATAGTATAGTATAGTATAGTATAGTATAGTATAGTATAGTATAGTATAGTATAGTATATTACAGTATAGTATAGTAGAGTACAGTACAATATAGTATAGTATGGTACAGTATATTATAGTATAGTATAGAATAGTACAGTACAGTGCTGTACATTATAGTGTAGTACAGTATAGAATAATATAGTAAAGTAAGTACAGTATAGTATAGAATAGAATAGTATAGTATAGTACAGTATAGTATAGAATAGTATAGTATAGTATATTGCAGTATAGTATAGTATAGTATAGTATAGTATAGTATAGTATAGTATAGTATAGTATAGTACAGTACAGTAAAGTATATTATAGAACAGTATAGTATAGAATAGAATAGTATAGTATAGTATGATGTAATATAATACAATATTGTTGGTTGTGAGGAAATATAAAGGAACATTCAACATTTTTTAAGGTTATTATTTTTGGAAGTCCTTAAAATGTAATGTTGGTGAAGATTCTCATTCATCCAGGTCATAGTCATTCCAACAAAGTTAAAAAAAAAAAAAATCCACGGGAATTTGTTTCAAAGTTTGAAGACGTTTCACTTTCCATCCAGGAAGCTTTTTCAATACAAAATGTCAGAATTAGCGTTGATTTCGAAAAATTATGTAATTGAATAAAGGCGTTTTCTTTCATGGAAAAACAAATTATTGGTTTATAATAAAAAATAAATAATCTACAATTTATAATTTCCAAAAAGTTATTATTCATGTATGACGTTTCAATAATACATCCAAGTGTCACCTGTTATTAGGCAATATAAAAAGAAAACACTATTATACTCTGACTTCTTTTACAGACAATTTTTTTCCATGTCCAATTTAAGTTAATAGTTCTTAACTAATTTGACTGGATGATCTGGCTGAATTGTCTGCAAAGTGCCTTGAGATGACATTTGTTGTGAATTAGCGCAATATATAAATAAATAGAAAATGAACGCAAGTCAAATTAACTTATGTAACTATAATAAACACAAGTTGGAAAATCTTCGTCTTGCTTAAAAAAGATATAATCAAAACAAAAAGTTTTACAAAATATGTTTTGGAACTGTTTTTTTCTTTAACTGCAGCACAAAACCTACTAATACAGTAAGGGCAATTAACTACTAGGAGCTTTGCTGTAAACAGGTAGCTCTAATTCCCAGAGGAATCCACGACTAATCAATTATAAACACCATAGAGTACACTGTACTTTAGCAGTTTAAATCACAGAAACAGTAGTAAAATAATTTCTCTTTATTGATATAAGTGTTTAAGCATTTCTCACATGAAATTTAACCTCACGTCAAGAACAACAATACTAAAGATAATAATAATCACAATAATGACCATGTTTTATGAATCGCTTTAAAAAATATTTGTTTTTTCAATTAAAAAAAAAAGAATAAAAACTCTACCAAAAATTACTTTTGAAATTAATTAAATCAGGAACCAATATGATTAGAATAGTAAAAAACTGAAAATAATATCAATAGTACAAACAGGTTATTGCAGGACTATTCATAAAATTATAACAGCTTGTTTTAGATGTGTAGAACTTGTATACAATAAAAATGTGAATAAAAATAAAGAATAAAGAGCACTCAATAACTGCAATAAAGCTAGAGTATAAAAAACGTTTTGATTTTGTAAATAACACATTAATAAACCTTGAGTGACGCGCCCTTTAGAGGGGCGTGATGTGTTTTAGCACCATGGCCAGCGACACCGTTGCTAGGTAGCCGTTTGTGTCAGCAAGTCGTGAACTGTAAAGAAACGCGGCGTTTTATAGAAACCTGGATAAGTCGAGCAGCCTTTCTCCCTCTTTAATAGTCCTCTGTTTCTTATTTTAAGCTCAATTCATTCCAAGAGAAGTAGAGTAAGTTTAGTGTCTGATTTTGCCATACTGCGAACATAAACTTCAGCAGAACCCCCCTCTGAGAAAGACCTATTGGTTTCGCCCAGGGACTCGCTCCAGCACTCACGGCAGACAACAGTGCTACAACACAGTGATTGTATATTATAACGTATAAATTAAACGTCAGTTTTTAGTAGTAATGGCGTAAAAACACCACAAACTCAGAGTGGTCTTAAAAAAAAAACACTGTTTGAAGGAGACACATTTACCGATGAGAGCTCAGTGTCCATAAATGGCAGCTGTGCAGTCGGAGAGAGAGGGACGAGGTAAAGATCTGCACTGGAATAAATAAGGTAAACGTTAACGGTTTGTTTCACGTGAGCAGTTGTTGCTAAGCTAACTGCAGAGCAGTCCGGTGTCATTTATAATTAATCATCAGGCGGTATCTTACTTAACGAAAATACACTATCTTAATTAAAATGCATCTCTTATTTGTTGTCATTCGTCGACATTAAGGGGGTTGTACGCTGGAAGCTAACAGGATGACACATTTGCTTTCCTTTTCTTCCACCTGACCTATGTGAGTAGCTAGCATCCTGATGTTAGCAAGCCAATGCTAGCAGCTCACTCATGGTAATAACAACACCCCTGCTTAAGATGTGGAAGATTTACTTCTTGCACGAAAAAAGAGCCTCAGCAGGTCAGATTAAATGAGTTTATGCTTAGGTTGCAAAATGGACAAGAAGCAATAAATCCAGAGAAAGGGGGGGATGGCCTGCAATCCTTCCAGTGATCTGGAAGATACCACATTGACTTCTTGCTGAGAAAGGCTCTGGATTTTGCAGCACTGGCACTTCGCAGGCTGGCATTACAAGCGCATTTCATAAATCTGTCTTTAACTCATCAGCTTTTTTTCTTTTCTTTTTTTTGTTGTTGCTTTTTTGCAGCAGAACAATATTCACCCAGAGATTGACTAATTATATGAAATATATGGTGTTTAGAGATTTGATTTATTCAGTCCTGCCTGTAGTATAGCTCTACATCTACAAACCACATGCTGTAGATGACCAGCTCTGACTGAGCTGATGGATTATATAAAATGTGAGCTTAGCAGAAATCATGGCTGACATCCTTCCTTATGGACTTTATTAAGCATTAAGTGTGAGATGAACAGGATATTTAAAATAGTTTTGCTCTTTTAGGCTTGTATTGGAATACGAATGTTTGCTTTACATCTCAGGATATTAACAGTAATGCTGCTAATACTGTATAGGGATGGTCTTAGATCACTCTGATATCATTATAGATTGTGATGTACACTAACCTGACAACAGCCAGATGCATGTCTCACTCCGCCTAGCTCCGCTGGGCGGAGCGAGACATGCATCTGGCCGTTGTCAGGTTAGATCTACACACCATATCTGTTCAATTTTAATGCATCTCTGTTTGAGCGTTATCCACGTCACTTTGAGGTTTTACTTTTGAAATAATTTGAAACAGTAATATCAGCAATAGGCTTTCTATGATCAGTTTGATTGAAATATAATTGTTGACTACTAACATGATAATATTAATTATGCAATGGTAATTGTAAATGGCCTATATCTGTATAGCGTTTTATCAAGTTCAAGGACCACAAAGTGTTTACTACATTCAGTCAGTCATCGCTGAATGCTTTTTCACTTAATCATTAAAATATATTGTCTGTCCTCTATGTTTTTTTTTTTTTTTTCTAATTTGATATCCAGCACCTCTGATATTTGAGACAATGATTTTCAGAATCAAGCTTTATTACAAGTTAATACAAGTTTTATAGCATATATTAATAGTGCACAATATTCCCTTCCTGTTCTCTGTAGAAAAAAATTATTTTAGTCACTTTTTAAAACCTTTTTGGCCTTTTTTAAGCAGCAGATTTGCCAGTAATTTCCAGCCGTATCCCTCTAACCAATAGCAGTAAACATAGATGCATGCAAACTCTTCATGTTGTGATATTGCTGTTTTATATATTTCCAAATGGAATTGTGGCTAATATAAATGCTTACTGGATAAAAATAAGTTTAACTTGAAAATATTTTGAAGCTCTGAAAGTTTAAAGGATTATTTTAGGAAAAAAAAAAACAGTGTGTGGTGTAACTGTGTATTTCAGTACCCCGTGGGATGATAGCTCCTACACTTGTTTCTCTCCTTAGCTAGAAAGAGAGACAAAGGCAGAGTTGGTTACCAATTTTTTGGTTCATTAGAAATTCTAAGTAACACTTTCTACTATTAACATTTGTTTTTGTCTATGTTTTTGTTCATTTACGAACACGTCTATTTATTTACATATCTTAAAAGCTTTAATCACTTTACATGACAGTTGATGTATCCGATATGCAGCTAATCAGGTTTATGTTGCCTCTGTGACAAAACTGGTATTGCTGTATCCTTCTTTCTTATAGTTAGTTAAGATTTAGTGATGCAATTACAGCATGTTTGTCCCTTTCCTATCATTATTTTCTCTTAAGAGCTTACACAAGCCCTGAATGTATCCGTAATGCTCTGATGGTGAGATATATTTTATATATTCTGCACATTCAGCTTAAAACAAGGACGTGCAATGTTTTCCTTGGCCTTCTGATTGTGGGTCTGGTGACTGCTTAACACAGCAAGGAGATGAAACTGGGGCCGCAGGGAGAAAACTTTTCTGTTATAACGAGTCTAATAGGTGTTAAACAAGCTATCACTCAGAAATATCGCCTCCTAAGTTTTTTACTTAGATAGAATTCATACACAACTGTTTAAGATTTATTGTGGATTTGCTCATGTTATAAACATGAAGTTTTACCAGACATGCTATTGGTTATTGCTTCACATTCAGTAATATTTTATTTAGTTTGAGTGAATGTTTTTAATTTGAATTTCAGGTAAAATCTGAGAATAAAACAATAGGTAGTACTCATGGTGGTAAATAATTATCTGAAAATTGTATTGTAGTTGCCATGCACACAGATCAACATTTGTTTGTCTTGTAAAGCCCCCCAAAAGAAAAAGAAAAAAAGAAAAAAACAGAAAGAGATGCACACGAGTAGCACAAAGAGCTGACTATTCACAAATAAGCCTTTCTGTGTAGGGTGGCAGGAGGACACAGCAGGAGTTAAGCATTAACAGCAGATCTGCAGCTGAACCTTTCTATGATGGTCCTTTGGCTCCCTCTGTTGGTCAAAAAGGAGTAAATAAAGTTGTAGCTGTGGTTTGGACTTTCCATGTCCCATTAGTCACAAGTACCTAAAAGCCATGCAAAGGGGGCAACAAACAAAAGTTATAACAGACATCCTGATGTGTATTGGGATGTGGTAGAAGACTTAAGTAAGATTTATTATTGGAAACTGTCAGATGTGTCAAAAATATTAATGTTCATTACTCAAGTGGAAGTAGAAATCCTACTGTTTAAAAACAGTTTTGTAGAAGTTAGAGTATCAACTTAAGCTTTTTACTCAAGTAAAAGTATAAAAGTACAATTTTTAAAACTACTTAAAGTATAAAGGTAATATTTATAGGTAATATTATTCTGGAGGATAATTCTTAGACTTAATTTTCTTACTTTTATAATTAATGGCAACAGTATCAAATTTAACTTTGCATCATCTTGAAAAGCTATTTTGGTATGTGGTAAACAATAAGTTGGTGCAGCACCAGAAAGAAAACACTTGTCTGGATAAAACCAATTATTTTGATTTTCTTTTTTAAAATACAAACAGGCCATAAAGAAAATGAGCTCAAATGAAACAAAACTAATGAGCCTATTTTTAAAAATGTAAGGAATAGAAAGTAGATATAATTGAAAAACATTTAGGGAATAGATATAAAGAGTTGTATAAAAATAGTTACTCCAGTTAAGTACAGACCGCCAAAATTTCTGCTTAAGTAAAGTAATGAAGTATTTGTACTTTGTTACTTGACACCTCTGGAAACTGGTTTATACCTGCTTTCATTTTTTTTCATTTTTTGCTTTGGAAATTCAAATTTAATTAACTGAAGAATAAACTGTAGAAGAGATAAATGAATGTTCCTTCCTTCCTTCCTTCCTTCCTTCCTTCCTTCCTTCCTTCCTTCCTTCCTTCCTTCCTTCCTTCCTTCCTTCCTTCCTTCCTTCCTTCCTTCCTTCCTTCCTTCCTTCCTTCCTTCCTTCCTTCCTTCCTTCCTTTGTTCTTTCGTTCGTTCGTTCGTTCCTTCCTTCCTTCCTTCCTTCCTTCGCAATCAATCCCTGATCAATATATTCTGTTAAATGGCAGGAAAAAGTCTATGTGCATAAGAAAAGGTTGCCAATCCATCATAAGGCAACACCTAGACATACAACCTTGTGAGCACAAAGGCAAATTAGAGAGGTAAAGATGCTTTCAGCCAAGAAGGCATGTTTTCAAACTATGGGAGGAAGCCAGAGTTCCTGGAGAGAACCCACATATGAATAGAGAGAACCCACAAGGAGAATATATAATCATTGCAGACAGAAGCTAGATCAGGTACTAAACCCAGGGCCGCCATGCTGCAAGGTAACAGTGCAACAAACTGTACCATTGTGCAGCTTATAGTTAAAGTTCAATTTAGTTTATTTATTTTAAGCTAATTCAACATAAATGTCAACTCGAGGCACTAAACAGACTCAATTCAAATTCAATTATGTAGAAATATGTAATCAGATTTGTCCATTGCAATCCAATCATTTAGATACATTTTAAATAAATCACACATCATAATTTGATATAATTCACCAAGGTGAAGATGACAATAGAACACAGTAAGGCCTGATTTTTATTGTCTAAATTAGCTACCAAAGGAGATCCATGATTATCTCAGTGACTACTTCAAGAAAATTGGAAAAATAAATCAGGCTGCTGCAGACTTAAACATATTGATTTTTATTCAAAGGGAACAAAAGCAATTGTGTGTCCATTTTATCATTAAAATACTTAAACATTGTAGTAATTTCAATCAAGATATGACTTATTATTTTAACATGATGTGTTTGACTCCCTCATTTCAGATTCCAAATCTCTAAAGCATTTCACCCTGTATGGAGGATCAAAGTTATCCCTTGTGATCTTTATTCAATATCACCAGTTGTGAAAAATGAATCTGTAATATAGTGAGTTGAAAATTGTTTTTTTTTGCTCACATGACTCTTATAGGGGACAGAGGGTGTTACAGAGACAGTGTTCCCTGCATCCTGCACAGTGAGCTTATACATTACACCATTGGGAGGGGGGTGTGGGTGGGGGGATAGATTGTCAGCAGGGCAGCCAGCCTCACTTTATCACTCTGACTCTTTGTTGTTGCTCCCCCTCCTCTCTGCGCTGATCTCATTCTAGTTGGGATCAATGTTCTGTGCTTACCACAGGCAGACCAAGAGGCTGACAGTGAGGACTACTGAATGATCAAGCAATACAATTAGATTGTCTTCTCATTCTAATTTGTCTAGAGACTGTTGATAGAATCAATGCAGTTGCTTTGTAAGCTGTCTTGTGAGCACATCTTTTTAAGCTCAGCGATCCTCCAGCAAAGGAAACAGGATGTGTGGAACGTAAACATTGTTTGGTGGGAAACAGGTGAACTGCCACCACTAGAGGCTACTGTTGATCTCTTTATGAAATACAAAGAGGCCATCGTATTACATTGCAATACAGTTGGTTTACAAATGAATCCCTTTTTAATGTTTCCACATAAGTGTTCAGCTTTTGCTTCCCTATTTTAAAGTCAAAACATCTTATTTATGTTGTTTTTTAAATTGTTTTACTCTTTGCTATTTGAGCTTCACTGTGGCAACATTTGTTGATTTGGAAACATATGTTAGTAGTTATGCTGCAGCGATAAATGGAAAGTTATTAACGTGTGTTTTTCTTCTGTCAGCACATGGCTTATGGAATAAAAACAAAATGCTCCTTTGGGAGGATTGCCAGTGCTTTGTATCCATATGAGGTAAACAGAGATAATGGCTTTAAAATTAGATTCTATAAAATGGACATAACTGCTGTATGTATGAATATTCAAACCATGTTTTATTTAGATTTTTTTCCTATTTAAATCACATAAAAAAAAAAAAACTCAACATGTCCCTTAATTAATGTTTCTAGCTTGAAAAAACCCCCAATATAGCTACTTCATCTCCTTGTTGAGTTTTAATGGTTTACTGGAATTGTAGTGTTGTAAACTATAGTCCGCATAGAAGCATATATGATAACAATACATTTTATTAGTAAACAACTTATACCTCTTTAATCATTTTACATTTTGTCTTGTTTCAACCACAGAGGTCTGCAATGGTCAGCAATTCATGTGGGGGAAGTTTTTTTACAGGACAAATATTAATCATGTTCTCTATTTAGTTGAAGAAGTGGCTAGAGGAAAGCTGTAAGCGATCGTGCTTCATACAAGCCATATAGCACAGAAAATAGGTAACACAATGTGCCCTGGATAGGAAAAATAATATTTTAAGCCTTTACGCTAAGGACTGTATGCGGCAACTGCTGAGAACACCATACCAACCTCATAACACGATGGTGGCAGAATCATTCTGTGTGGACGCTTCTGTTTAGCAAAGAAAGGAAAGCTAATTAGAACTGTTGGGACGATTCGGTTGAATACATAAAGGTAAGTTAGTTGCAGTTTTGGGAGAGTTTAAGGAAACATCCTTATATCCAGTGCAGCAGATCCAGAATTCAGAGGCATTCAATTTTGGTCACAATACATTTAACAACAATAAGACACAACATTTCTCCTTTAGGTGGCGGTAATACAAATTAAAGTGGGTATGCTGCTGCACAGAAGGGACTAGAGCTACAGCTGGCACCTAGATCTATGCATTATAGTAGAAGTAAGAACTTTTTCATGCAAATGTTACAGTAAATTCCTGCAGGTCTGGATTGTGGAGAAGCAGGCTTTCAAGGTCAAACTGAAACCTTGGAGTAAAACATGGACATGCTTGTGCTTATCACAAAGAGAAATCACGAATCGATTGAAAATAATCACAGTTTTGTTTTTTGACCAAACCGTTCAGCACTAACTTGAACTTTAAAACAAATTCCAGTTGTGAATCTGTGGCAAGGCTTAAGAAAATGCTCCTCTCTGAGACTATCCATCCAACATGACTGAGCTTGAGTTATTTCACAATGAAGACTTTTTTCGGCCTTCTGTTCAAAAACACCAACTTTACCAACAAAGGCTGTGGGTGGTTACGTGGTTGCGACTTGATTTATTTATTATAAAGGCAGAGACAAAATAATTACTAGAAATGTCTTGCAACTTAGTCGAAACGAAAACTAATGTCAATTTAATGTTTAAAGCTCCCCAAAAAATTATTAAAAAATCATTTACAAAACTTCCTGCCCACACTAGACATTTACCAAACAATCAACCTCCACCCAAATATATAAAATTCCAAATATAAAAAATTTATTACAAATTTTGGTTCTAAATTGACTTAAATACATCAGAAAACTAAATTGGTGGAAATTACAAACTACAAAAATTGAGCATAAATGGCCACAATAAAAACTGGATAATACATTTTTTTTCTTCTAATCTTTCCATTTATCCATAAAGCTTGTTTTTATTTGCCGTTAATGTTTACTGAATAAATATGCATATCACAGTTTCTGAAATTTAAAAAATAAAAACCTTGAAAGTTTGAAACCTTTACAATGTTGCACTGATTTGTGTTTGTTACATGAATGCTCAATAAATGACTGTATATGAATGCTTTAGCAGAACAAAACACACCATAACGTCAGAATGTTTGTATTTTTTTCCTACATGGGAAAATTAAATATGCCTCTTTAGACTAAAAACCAACTTTACATTTACTTTGTTTATAGTCTTTTTTTTTAATAAAAAAAATGAATCATCTAGCAGCTCACAAGGACAAAAACATTTGACATCTGACATTTTCGATTTTCTCACAGTTTCTGCAGATGGAACAAGAAAATAGAGGCATAAAAGCAGCTTTTGTTATGTGTTGTTAAAAGCAGGGATGAATATCTGAGAAATTTACAGAGCAAGTGTTTGGAGTGCTCTTAAAGGAAAGCACACAATCCCTGCATAAATGTACCAATATCTCTATAATTTGGCACCAAAACAAGGAACCGTGGTTACACGGACACAAAGTGGCAACATTAGCTTATTCCATCCTGAAAAGGTTTTTAGATACGCTCGCTGACCGGAGAAATCGTCTGCTGACCGATGACAGTATCCTTGAGGTAACATCTTAATAAGCCACTGTGAAGATACCATCTGTTTGAGCCCACTGACCTTGTGGCCTTGCTAGAGAACTCAGCAGGAACTGAAACAATGTGATGCTGGAAACAGTTTGCTTTAGTAAAAACACAAAAAACAGTGTTTGCAGTATTTTATGTGGAATAAAGGAGCTCTGCGTAGTTTTTGTCTTTGATTGGTCGGATCAGTTTAAACTTTGCATCTATAAACTCTTTTCTTTCTTTCTTCTTTGTAGGCTAACCCACCCCCCTCCCCCCTTATCCTCCCCTTCCCTCCCTTTCTACCCTGGAAGCAATAAGAATATCTTGTTGGTGCAGACCCCCCCCTTCATGAATCCTCCCCTTTGCACCCTTTCCCACCACTGCTACCTGAGCTGAAGCAGGTTAAGGAGAAGCTCAGATGATCCATCGGGCTGTTATGAACCACATTGTCCAAGCAGCCAGGGACAGGGAAGAGTAACTAGTGCGTGTGAGAGAAATCGCTTCGAGGTGGGGGGTGCTGTGAGCACCTTGTGAGGTCCGCCCACCAAGCCTGGCAGAAAGCTTGGCTCACCCCTTCTCTCCTCCAGCCCCTGAGATGCCCTCCCCTCCTAATGATGGAGGTAAGTAAGAGAGGCTCATTCCTCTTAGAACTGACAGGGTCACTGTATTAGTTGCTTATGCTGGATTTGTGCATACACTGAGACATAACTTAACTATACTTCCATACACCCACACTAAAACACACACACATAACAGTGGAACATAATAATTTAAGGATTATGATGTATGGAACTACACCACACAAGATGAATAATCCACTTACATTCTTCCTCCATAAACAAAGCTCTGTAAATCCCCTGCAGGAACAAGAAAAATATGTTAGCGTTGCGTTCCGCTCCCTGTTTTGGAGCACAGGCTGTGCTTGTATCTAGTTATGCTGTGTGTTATCTCCTCCAGAGGATCAAGGAGCGTCCCCCATGAACGGTGGCCCATCTGTGGGCTCCTACAAGAGCAGAGGGAAGAGGAAGGCACACTCCAAAAAGAAGAAGGGCACGATAACTGCCAACATCGCCGGCACCAAATATGAAATAGGTATTCCTATGTCTTTAATGACTGAAACACTATGGATTGTTGTTGTTTTTGTGAAAGACAAAACCACATTGACAATGCAGGGGCTTTAGATAAGTAACTACCTTAGATAAATATTAAGTTATTACCATGTTCATTAAGGTATGTGGTGAAATCAACATCTGGCAGAGGGAAGCATTAAGCCCTTTAAAACGTATTCAGACCTGGGACCTGCAGACCTCTCGCAGGATTAATAGTGACTGTGGAAACCTCACGCTGGACCTCTAGCTCCTTGGATTCTGTGCCTCTCAGCTCCTCTACCTTTCACTTTGGCCTTTGGAGCTCTGAATGACATTGAATTTGGTTAGGAGGGGTTTGGCACAAGGAACACAACAATTACAGGTCATCCCCTGCACATGCCTGTCACTAGTGGCTCTTGATGCACTATTCTAGCTGTATTTCAATACTAATAACTCTCATTCCAACTCTAGGTGGGGTTCACAATCCTATCAAAGATGTTTTCACATAAATATTTTTTCATACTTTTTCCTTCCACTCAACTTTTCATCAATATTCATTGTAAATTGTAAATGGCATGTACTTATATAGCGCCTTTATTCAAAACAGGAGACTTGATCAAAGCGCATTACATTACATTCATACACCCATTGATACACACACTGATGGTGGCAAGCTACATTTTAGCCACAGCTGCCCTGGGGCTCACTGACAGAAGTGGAGCTGCCGTACACTGGCTTCACCAGGCCCTCTGACCACCATCAGTAGACAATGCAGGTGAAGTGTCTTGCCCAAGGACACAACGACACTGAAAGTCAGAGTCGGGGCTTGAACCGTCAACCCTTCGATTTCAGGGCAAACTCCTACAACCAACGCCACTGTCGCTGCTTCATGGTTAAAGCTCCTACCAGAGCTTCAGTTTTTGAGATTTTATTTAATATTTGATGTTTTAGAGAAATACCTAACATGAAAATATTACATAAAAATACAACATGAAATAATATTGACATTAAAAATATTGTTAAAATCAGAATACATACGATATCTGCAATTTTCAAAAATGAAAGTCATATAACTCTTCCTTGATATACTACAATAAAAAAGGTAATTTCTGAACAAGATATTCTCTTGTTCATAGATTATTGGCACTAATATATTTTCATTGACATGCAAATTAAAATGTTTAAGTATTAACAGCAGAATAGGAACCATCCAAATGATTTCCATGATGTATTTTCAATAGATTGCTTTAAATCATGAACCTAAGGTAAAAACAGGTGAAAACTACTGCAAATGTATTTCTTTAACAGTTTTATTGGGTCACAATGTTGAACTAAATTTGTATTCAGCTCGTCAGTTTCTTTGTTTTTTTTACATAAAAAAAAATACCAGGAGTTAGGGATTTAAACACCTGTTTCTTCCTGTTGCGTAGTAGGTTCTGTGAAAAGACCAAACACCTAAATCTAATATAAAATATAACTATAAAATCTGCAGAGGCAGATTTTTGTTTTTTAAGAGTTGGCTTTTTCTTTTTTGTCTCAAATCGCTCATAAACATTCGCAGGTGAGCCAAACAGCTCACACACAGACTATTTAGACGTATATACTTTACCTAAATCTACTGCGTGGTAATTTAGCTTGCTGGTGAGTTGCTGGTTCTTTTTTCCTGTTGAGGTTACTTAAAAGAGCCGTGTAAGCACTCCTCTAAGGTTCAATATATTGCATGGCAGCAGAGTTCTCAGGGGTGAAGTACAGCCTCTGAAAGTAAGGAGTCAGCAGCAGCGTGTAGAAGACGGAGGCAGTTGGGATCCTGTCGGTAGACGGGACTCCAGCTGTGAGTCAGTCATCTAGCTGTGGCGAGAGCCTCACAGTGGCCATTCTGAGGGTAGTTCATGCCTATTTTGAGGGAGGATTAACTCCACAGGCCAGATGGATGGCTTGTTTTTGCATTGTTCTTGCATCTGTTTTTGAGAGACGATAATATCTCAGGTAAAGTTTAATGGTGGGAGAAAATGGGGTTGGGAGTGTGCGTCGGGCCCACTAAGTAGGTGTCTGTAAGCTGAAGCGTTTCAAATGCCTGTTTCGTAAGAAGCGCAAGACAGGATCTATTACAGCCCTGCTGTACTCCAGGATCTTCCTGCTAATTGTAAGCATATGTCTGCTTTGATGTAAATCTCCCTGTTCCAGTTAGCATTACACAGTTAGTCTCTGCTGACATTAACAGATGGATGAGGTCACATTGGAAATATCTATTTCCCCATTCAAGTGCCATCACGCAACATTAGGCAAGCCTTCTCCAGGTTTGTAGAAGCTTTCAAGAAATTAATTAATACGTTGTTTTGTTAGGGCATATGAATTTTTCATTAACTGCTGAATAATGAATCCTTGTAGGATTAATGTCCAAGTGGGTTGCCACCTATCTCTCATACTATATGGTTTCCGGTGGGATTTGAATGCATTACAGTCAATTAATTTATCTTTTTCAAGAGAAGCATTACGCTTTGCTGCCGCGCTGCCGTTCCATGAATAGTAAATATGGCTGCAAGTTTTTTTTTTTTTATCTATAACTTCCCCAGATTCATCTCTTTATGTATACACAGCAACATTTGGGTCTCGTAAAATGTTTGAGTGAAATATTGATCTGTGACGCTTGGTTAGGCTCAGGATTTAAGAGTCCAGGTGATATCATCTTCTTATTTTGCAGCTAGAACTTTAAGCTTCCTCGCTCTGCAGGACGTGCCCGGTCGAGTGTTAAGTGGCAGGCCTTTTTCCAAATTTACACAGGCTTTCAAAAGTTTTCAAAAATCTTTAAACTTTGTCCCATTTTGTCAATTAAAATACCTAAACCTCAATGTATTTCCTTTGGATTGAACATGGTAGAGCAATAGAAAGTAGTGAAAAGCAGTGAAAGGAAACAAAAACAATGTGAGACCTATAAAGTCTGGCTTGCATTTTAAATCCCCTCCAAATTACATCTGTCCACAAAAAAATCTTATATTTCGTAAAGATATTAGAGCCAACCTGAGTTTGGGATTTCTATATCTGTTGAAAAATGTTATGCACTTCTTTGCATTGGACTACCAGTTCCTGGTTGTTAACCTGTTAAGATGATAAAAAGTTCAAGAGATGTGATACTTTTGCACATTTTTACAAGTCCTTCAATATGTGTATTTATGAGATTCTGCAGCTCATTGAGGTATTTCCCTTTTGCAAGAGAAATGAATGTGTTTTTAATGTTTTACAGTACGCATAGCCATCAGGGAGATGGGCTTCATCAATGCACGGGATGATGATGAGACTGCTAACCTCATCTGGAATGACTCAGCAGTGCAGCATGAGAAGATTGCTGAGCTCAGGAACTATCAGGTAGACATAACTTGATCAGTTTGTATTGGTTCAAAACAACCGGTGAGCTCAGAGAATCTGTCTGCTTTTAATATAGTCAAGATGACGCCCAATGCATCTGTGAATAAGAAAATGTTTGAACATTTGGCTCCATTTTAGTAAGATGCAAAGAATTTATATAATGATTGAAAGCTGGAAATAAACCATTTAATTGAATAACTTTCAACCCTGCAGATTCTTACTTGCAAACTAAATATGAAGTATGAAAAATAATTGCTAATTCCAAGCCTCCTTCATCTTTGAGGTGGTTTAGTTAGAAGCCTTATTTGGGTTCCTGTCTGCTTTGGGAACATGTCTCTTCATCTTGTGACAATTTGAATTTGAATTCTTAAGATTTCTTAACACTTCCTTGGACAGCAGTTAAGTGTTGGTATGTTACTGCTTCTGAGCAAAAGACATGCCAGTGTTATAAAGGGAATATATACCAGTAAGTTGTTGTTTGGAATAAATAAATGAAACCGCAGCAAATCCTAAAATTCAATATAAAATGTTGCTTTTAATTATAATTTCTGCAACACTTTATTTCTCAGTTTTTGCTCCCCTGCTGCAAACCTTATGCATTCACTCAACGTACCTCAGCATGCTCCACATGAGCAGAGATAAATACTCTTGTGTCTGCTTGCTGCCTCTACCTTCTTCAAATCCCACCAACGCTCACTATAGGTATCCTCGTTCTGCCACATCCTCTTGCCAAAGCCGCTGTTCCAAGTTTATGAAAATGAAACAAAACGTCACTAGTTCTGGTCTTTATCAGGCACACTTACCACAACAAATAACCCATCTGGTTGGTTAGACCAGATGTCGTCGAGATCACTCCTCGTTCTTGTTAGAAAAACTGAATGTGGATAATGTTAGTTTTATATATACTAGCATTTTTATGTGTTTATTGGAAGCGTATGAGCAACATTCAGTTTTACAAACAGACCTAATTTGCCTTTGGGTTTGATTAAGTTTGATTCAGAATGTAGAGCGGGCAGCTCAGTAACTTAGTTATACATTTTTTTTTAGAAATCCTGGATCTTCACCTTGGTAAGTTGGCAAGAAAGACAAAGTTCTACTGGAGGACCGAACCAGGAATCTCCCATACAAGAAAACGGGGTCTTTATCTGACCACATGCAGTAGTGAGACTCAAAGTAGTTTAAATTACATATATTTCTTTCCGATTTCTTAGGTCTGGGGTTGTGATTCCGGCTATAGGAACACAAGTACACAGAGTAGCCCATTCCTCCAAACAAAAGACCTTAAAGGTATAGTGGAGGATTTTCATTAATTTTTTAAAAGGCCCGCCCTCTCCACTTTAAAAAAAATATGCACATGCAAAACCCTGTACCTGCTCCCGAGATGGAACGCCTATTAAATGCGTGCGAGAGCATGCATGAGCCCATTTCTCCTCGTGCATGCTCTGTTTAAAAGTTGCTGTTTGCATGGCTCATACTAGCTTACTTTCCAAAAGATTTGCATTTTTTTCCACTAAATCAGACTCACCACCATTAAGTGAAAATGGGCACGAGCATGTAGGACGGCCTTACGCAAACATATCACCAGAATGATTGACAATTAGGAGGACTACTTAATTTCATGATCCACCCGGAAAAAGAACATCCTCCATTATACTCCATTATATTCTTTAAAGGTCCTTTATCGTGCTTTTTATAATAATAATTAATTCCTTTAGAACTATCTGTGCATTATTTTGCAAGGAAATATAGCTGTTTTTTTCCAGCCCTAAAAAGAACTACCTGTCGTCAAAGCGCAGCTTCCCTTCTCCATCTTTGTACTACCCAGATCATGGCGTTACCATATCACACCACTTCTGAAGGCTGAACAAAGTCAGAGACCTCAGTCGATCCAAAAAACAGATTTTCACAATTTAGACAACATCAAAAAAAGGAAAGTTGCAGCCTTGTGCTGATTAGCTGCTAAAGGATCCATTTTTTTTTTAGCAGAATCTTCTCACTATGCCTCACAATACCACTCCCTGATCGGAAAAGGTGGCCATTTGTTTACAGTCCAGGCACACCCCGGTTAAGGCAGTTGCTTCCTTGAGTAGGCATTTTTATGTAGATACTCGTTTTCACAGGACAGAGAGAACAGAACTTATAAGGATTACTCAGACAAGCCTAAATCAAGCGAAATACCACTTTGTGCCTCACTCAAGGGATAGCATTATAACATAGTTAAAAGCTACAGAAAGTTGATTTTGCATGATATAGGCTCTTTAACAGCATTTTACCAACGACCGGACTTGGCCTTAAGGCTGCACCTTGGTCACCCCCTCCTTTAGATAGTTGTTTATGACCGTTTATTACTGATCAGTCTGCAGTTTTGTTGCAGAAGTTATTTCACGTAAAATATGTTTGAAAACTGACTTAGGTAAGCATACATAGCAAGAGTAACTTAATCATGCAAATATAATATAGCATGGAAAAATTTTTTTGGAGCTATTCGAGTGTTTTATTGATTTTAAACAGCATTACCTTCCCATCAGTTTCTCTGGCTGCTTATGTTTACATTTCATTTTGCAGCCCATGTTCAAGTGGATCAAATGTGTCAGCAGGCGTTGGACCTGTCACTTTAATCTAACATAAACATTATTGTATATAAAACCACTCCCAGTGCAAGTAATAATTTCCTGAAACGCCATAAATTGATGTGATGCTTTATTTTATTCATGGGCAAAACTGTACATCAACAATAGAGTAAGTCTGACAAAATGGTAAAGTACTATATTGTTTTTGGTTCCGCTTACAGTGCCTTCCAAGCATATTAAAACCTTCTGAACATTTAACATTTTGTCACTTAAAAAAAACAAATCTTCAATGTAATTTGTTATAAACTAAAAACATAGCTGTAAAATGGAAGGAATGGATATACAGCTGCATGTTCTTTGGGGTATATCTTTACGTCAGAGAGTCCATTGTTCTTTGCAGTATAGCTCAGGCTCAATAACCTGGCATGAGCCAGATGGATACATGTAATTAAATTTAAATTCTTCATTGCCTCCATCTGCAAAGGTTTCGGGTGGAAAGCGTGTTCGTAAAATCGAGGGACATTAAATACAATTCTTGGAGATGATTGGGTAACACCAAGTGGAACCCGCCTCTCATGTCGACATTTTAGCCAATCACAGCAGCAGTAGCACCTGTCACGTATTCACATGTTTCTTTATTAATTAACAACTACTGGAGTTAATTGATAAATCAAACATCTCTCTCAACCACAAAGACACAAATTACATAATTTTCCCTGTTTTTTCAATAAAGAAATAGAGGGTATTCCAGCGAAAACAGACAGAGTAACAGAGTCTACAGATACATTTTGCTTCAGCTTGCTGCTACTGTTTGACGTCTTCATTCACGTTCATTGGTTCAAAACATATCTGTGTTCCAGGCTAATGCGTCTACTGACTTCTGGAATTTTTGAATTCTCAAATCTTACAACAATTCGTCTTGCTTGCAAGGTAACAATCTCAATTCGAATGCACAGAAGTGCCCGTAGACAGAAAATTTCAAGTCTTGCCAAAGTTTTTAAAATAGAGGTAGGCCTTGATTTTTGGCCATTAATTGGTAGCCCTTGTACTCTAACTAGTGTTGGTATCCTCCTGGAAAGTAAACCTCCTCCCCAGTCTCAACTCAAGTCTTTTGCAGCCCTTTAACAGAATTATTGTGAATTCCCTTAGATTTAGAAATAACTTCCCTGGACATATTTAGAAAGTTAGTTATGATTATATGCTGCAAATTGCAATTCAGAGTTCTAATAGTTTTCTTTAAGCAATGACTTTCTTCTTGTCATTCTTCCTGAAAGATTTGTCTAATCTGTCATGGAGAAATGTGAATTTCTGCTCCTGAAGAGTTACCATTAAGCTTTTTGGTTTACGGTACCTTTCAAACTTCTTTCAAGCCTCTTAGTCCTTCACAAAACAACTGTATTCATATCTCAGAACAGCTGTATTTACACTTAAAGTACATTTTCCATAATTTGTACTGAAGAGTAATTGGTTGCCCTGGATTTCATTTATACGTTTTGAATTAAAACGGGAAAATAAAATATGTATGGCAAAACTTATCTAATTATTTTGTGTAAAAGAATTGAAACCAAATAATTTAAGATTGCAGTAATTCTGAGCGTCATGCTTTGTGCAGATAAACTAAATTTCTGCAAACCTATGTTTCAAGGCGTATGAACATTTAAAAGGATTAAAAGGCTCCATACTGTATGTTATAACTTGTTGAATGGTTGAAAATGATTTTCTCATCATCAACATTTGTCAAGAGGTAGATGATGAAAATCAGCAGAGAATAGAGATAACACAACGAATGCAACCAAACACATATTTATCATTAACAGTAATAGGAAAGTGTGATATTCAGTACAATAATCATGAATAAATGAGGAAAAAACAGGAGTGGGAATTCCCAGCTGCTCTTCCTAAGGCACAGTGTGGTAAGAGACAAAGATAACCGCTATGAAAAAATCATGGACATAGTAAAAAACTTCAACAGAGGCTATCCAGAGATTGACAGGTAGACTGACATGCTGTGCACAACTGGGTCTGCCTCAGCAGCTTTCAGATGTCACTAGTGATGTTGTTAAGACGGGTCTTAACAACAACGGTTGCTCTGAGTTTCCTGGTTGGTCTGAGAGTGATTTTACCTCTGCTTGACCCCCCCCCCAGTCTTGCTCAATGAACTTGGCTGCCCTCCCGTAGCTGTGAGTATTAGCTATCCGTCTCCCTGAATGCTTATTTGATTAGACTGGCCACTAATGATCGATTAAATCACAAGCTAGTCAGGAAGCCTTGTTAAGATAGGGGCACTAAGAGTTCAGCGAAGAAGATGGAATATATTGAATACTGTAGCTGCTTCATATTTTGCAATGCTGCGAGTGTTACACATTGACCAGATGCTTTGCCTTTCTTTTTTGGGTTTGTTTCTTCATGGTTGCGTGGCACCCATGAGCTGAAATTTTAGAAGAAAAGTGAAACTCCCTCAACAATTGGCTTTGATTTGCACTTACATGCCATCTAGTCTTGCGGCACTGGGATAATTGTACAGTCTCTTCCGAATCTTTAATTACATCTGTCTCATTTGGATAATAATAACGCTTTTCTTATATGCTTTGTATTGTATTTTATTTCTTTTACCTCTTTATTTCCCCTTATTGTAAAATTGTCCTCTGTTTTTTTTTTCAGTGATGCACTTTGAGAGTTCACTGTCAGATTTTCAGTTTGTACGAGCCTAATTACCACCCCTGTTCAGGCTCATTTGGTCAAAGAATACAGAAAACTCTGAGGTTTTTTCTTCTTTACATCCACCCCCTTTCGGCACATTCAAAGCAATTCATTCAACTGTCACCGTAGGAGCTTGCGATGCAGAACCAATTACCTTGCCCCCTCTGAGTAGAGATTGATCGTATTTTTTCGCCCCTCTTCCCTCCCCAACCTTTAAAGTATAAAAAAAAAAACATGGTAAACTAAATAAGGGTTGAGAAAGGTCTCAGCGTCACCTTTTTGTTTTGAGTCTGTAATTGGGCATAAATGTCAGAACATTGTAAGCTCACTTCAGGTTGCTGCCTTTAATGTGCTCATTTTTATGAAGGGGTGGGGGTGGAATTGAGTGGCTTAATGGCCCTAACAACATTATTATGTCTGCCTGTCCCTCTGCAGAGAATTAACCATTTCCCTGGCATGGGCGAAATCTGCCGGAAAGACTGCCTCGCAAGAAACATGTCCAAGTGAGTTTTTTTCCTTATCCCTCTTTAATATGTGCATGTGACCGCTTTGGATCCGTTACAGGGAAGCGACGCAAGCATCCGACTGCCTGCTGGTATTTTAAGAAGTTACAGCTGGGTACTTGTAGCACTTCACATTTCAAAGCAAATGGTCAGGTCCATTTTGAAAGCACAACATTCATTTTTTAATTTGAAAAAAAAAAAAAAAATCCCAAAAGTGCCAGACTTAACTGGCAGATTATTCTAAAACGATAAGTAATTGCTTCTTGGAGAAAATTATACTTGCACACTTCCTCTTTTCTTCCTTGCAGAATGATCAAGTGCCAGCCTCAGGAGTACAGCTTCATACCCAAAACCTGGATCTTCCCCGCCGAATACACTCAGTTCCAGAACTATGTCAAAGAGTTGCGCAGGAAACGCAAGCAGAAGACCTTTATTGTCAAACCTGCCAATGGAGCCATGGGTCATGGGTATGTCAGTGGCTATAGCAAGTCTCCTTGAGTAATCTATATGCATTGACTGCAGGGCTGACCGAGAGAGCAAGGGTAAAAGTAGAGGAGGGAAAGGAAAGGGAGGGGGGAGTAAATTAGCAGCAGAGCAAATAGAGGACAAACACGACCAAAACAAAGCTATAAGGGGTTTGTGACCCTGGCATGGGTGTCTATGGAAATTGAGAACGGCTGGTAACAGATTGAGTATTAGAGCTGAGAGGGTGTGGCGAATCTCATTGTGGGGCTTCATTGTCTTCGATGGTCACCCCGGCCATAAATCAGTGGTTATCACTGCCAGTGGGGGCCACACACAAATGCTCATGGTCTCTGGCAACTACTGTAGTTCCTCCCCTCAAGGTCTCTGCATGTGATTATTGGATTCCGTTATGAGGCACCATCAGCAAAGGGCAGTCAGACTAGAAAATGGACAAAGATGGCTGCTGCAGGGGAACATGGACTCTCAATAGCACCTCTTTATCAAACGATGGGCTGAATGTAGTACCTGAATGCATATTTCATACTTTCACTCCCATGGGGTAAGAAGTAAGCTCAAGTTGTGAGGTGTGAATTTTCATTCTGGATTTTGGCATTCTGAGAGAGAAGTCTGGAAGCATTTGTCCATTATTCCCTGAATAGAAAAGCTGGTCTAACCGTCTCCTGCACCCAGCTTTGCTCAGGAGTTTAAAATAGATGGATTCACTGAGTAACTTCCTCTTTTTGTATTTTATTTGATTTACCAACAGTTAGTAAGGTGGGACTTTAGTAAAAGGAAAAGGATAGATAGGATATGTCTTAATCACTGTTACTGATTGAGGGAGTAGTCTTTGAGCACATTTATTTTTGCAAAATGGCTAAAGCCACATTTAAATTAAAAAGAGACTAAAGCCTTTCTGCAATTTCTCAATTGGATTTACCGCAATTTTCGGACTATAAGCCTCAAGTTTTTCCCCATTTTTCGACCTTGCAGCTTATATAACAATGCAGTTCATCTATGGACTTTTACAGCTAACCGCCACTAGAGTAATACCTAAATCTATGGATTTAACCATCCACCATGTTGACGTCACATTTGCTTCAACACACAAGTACAGTAGCCGCGCGCGCGGGAATGGGGAGGTCCTCCGGAAGCAGACTTCTACCGCGAGTGGTACGAGACAGTACGACAGCGAGAAAGACGGACATTGCGAGCGCAAGACAGTTGGTGTGTAAACCTAAAAACCTGCGGCTTATAGTCCGGTGTGGCTTGTATATGTACAAATCATCTAATTAAGCTTCAGCGGCTTATATTCAGGTGCGGCTTATAGTCCGAAAATTACGGTAGGTCTTTGCTTTGATTGAGTCATTTTAACAAATGAATTTACTTTGAACCTTTACATGTAGCGCTGTCAGTATGTTTAGGGTTTGTAAGGTGTGTCCATTCTTCAGTCATGACCTGCTTCCCTGCCCCTGTCTCCCCTCAGCATGATGCTGTCACCACCATGCTTCATGTTGTTGATGATGTCGTCAGGGCAGCATTAGTTTTCCTCCAGGTTAAACATTGTGCACATTGGCCAAACTGTTCAGTTTTAGTATGTCATCAAAAAAAAAGCACTTTCTTGTGCACAGTGTCTCTTTAATCGCTCTTGGCAAACTTCTTATTGCTCTGTTGTTTTAACCTATAGTTATCTTTCTAAGACACTACTTTGTGTTTGTCTATCGATAAAAACAGATTCATGGCCTTAAGTTTATGGTCGTAAAATTGATAAAATGTGAAAAAGAATGAGTGTGAATACATTTAAACGGCACTTCATATTCAATAATAAAGTGAAATTACTTGAAATTCATGCCTTTATATGTCCTGGAACTTGAACAGGTTACATCATCTTCCCACAAGCATTGCCAATAAAAACTGAACATTATAAGGCTCAGTAAGCATTTGATCTTTGCTTTAAGTGGTGGGGACTTTGATATTGATCACAAAGCTCTCTCAATTTAAAAAGAATTAGAGGAGTAGGATGAGATCTGGCTATCTGGGCTTTTCTGGGTGTTCCACTGACTGAGGAGAAATGAGAAGAATCCAAACATTCTTAGGGAAGTTAGGAAGTTTATTCGGGGAAAGGAACATTGAGACACTTCAATGTTCACCGATTTGTGCTTTGTAAATGATTTTTAATCTAAAAGTCTAAAAAAGCTCTCATTGAAGAGTTGAAATTCTTTTTTATCTTGTTTTCCCCCATAGATTCTAGTTATTCCTCCCGAAGAAGAGCAATTATTAATAAAAAAAAATGTGAAGACTACAGAGAAAAAAAAAAGTAAAAAATTTAAGTTTTGTAAATAATTTGGTTTCTTGAGATAAATTTTAAACTACAAGAGAATTCATTTTAACTGAAGTGAGAAGGAACCTTTTAGCTGCCTTGAGAAACCCAGAAAGAGTTCCCGTGGCAAAATATTTATTAAGCTTTCTATTTCACATTCTGTTCTCTGAAAATCTGATCTCTGAGACGAGTGTGCATCAGGAAATACAGTGGGCTGACTTCATCACTTGCACCAATAGGTGGGGATATTGAAGTACAAATAGCTTTGTGTGCCCCACCTCTTCCTCTAGTTCTCTTTGAATTTGTCCTTTCTGGTATAATGTGAGCATTACTTATAACTCCATGCTTGTACTAAGCCCTTATTTATTAAAGAATAAAGGCTGAATTATTGCAATACATTAAGAATATGAAAGATGATGAGTTTAGCTCGACCACTCAGTGGCAGGCGGCTCACAAAATTAGATTTTTCTCTCTTTTTTTTCCCCTGTGGTGTGACGCGGCAGGAAATTAAGTTATATCTACCCCCTGTAATTTATTTTTCTGTCGGCCAACTAAATGAAGTTATTGTTTATGTCTGAAGCCTAGCTTGTTATAAGGCGAAACAAAATAAAAGCGCATGCGAAGCTTAAAAAGGCAAGCTCCCCTCCAGTGTCATATTAAATAGGCAGGGGGAGAGTGGGCTGTGATTATCTGACACCTCAGCTCATCAATCATGCCGTCTTTTCCTCAGCTACTTCAGCTCCACTAACTAACGCTGTTAACCCTGTCCTCATCAGTCAGCCTGCTGTCAGCCAGCTAAGAGGGCGCCTTACATCGTCGGTCAGGCCCGTAACAACTTCCCTCCTGCTCGTTTTCATTCAAGTACTCTGATAAGCAGGTCAGTGAAGTGGTCATTTGTAGGGCTGCAGCTTTTGTTGGCAGGAGTAAGACTGATGTAGATAATCTACGGAGGGATCTTCCATATTATTGGTTTGAGGGACGAATAAAGTTTTTCATTTCTCCATTTAAAGGTGAATAAAACGTTTTACTTTTTCCATTTTTCTGTTAAGTTTTTAAATACAAAAAATGCTTTTAGCTTTATAGATACACTGTATGGATAAATCAGTTGATAAGCAGGTGTAACTAGAGGCATGGCATGATGAATTTAGATGAATAAATGGCCCATTTTAGGAGGGGTTAAAATATATATTAATATTGACAGCAATTTTAAATCTTTTTTACACTGTAAAATTAACCGTTAAGGTTTTGACAGTTAAACTTAAAGGTATAGTGGAGGATTTTTGTGAATTTTTCAAAAGATCCACCCTCTCCCCTTTAAAAAGAAAATATGCACATGGAAAACTCTGTACCCGCTCCTGAGAGGGAACGCCTATTAAAGCCTATTTCTTCTCGTGCACGCTCTGTTTAAAAGTTGCTGTTTGCATCACTCATACCAGCTTACTTTCCAAAAGAAGATTTGCAATTTTTCCACTATGTCAGACTCACCAGTAAGTGAAAATGGGGACGAGCACGTAGGACGGCCTTACGTAAACATATCATCAGAATGGTTGACAAGTAGGAGGACCACTTATTTTGATGATCCACCCTGGAAAAAGAACATCCTCCATTATACCCTTAAGAGGTGGCAGTTTTTTCTGTTTAAAGGTGATTGTCGTTCATTTTATGACAGCATGTAATTCACTGCAGTAAAGATACAAGGTGGGGGGGAAGCAGGAAATGTTTGTGAGCCACGTGTCTAAAGACTGATTTAGCTCCAAAATTGTGGGTGACCACAGTTGTTGGGGAGGCAGGGGTAAGATCTTTCCACAATCTGCAACCCGCTTTTTTATACCTGTTGGCTTTATTTACTTTGGTATTAATAGACCCAGGGCATAGCACCACATTGCCACCAGGAGGTCAGGACACCATGGTCTAAAGATTGTTTTCTTACATTTTGGATTTCCAAAAGGTTTCACTATAGCATGTTTCATGACAGAGATATGTGGAAAACTCTAAGGCAGGGATCACTAACCTTTTTAAGAATAGAGGCATGTTCATGGGTACTGAGTCACAGGATGGGCTACTAATACTGACATATGAACTGGAGGAGTCAGAGTTCACCTAAACTTCATTAATAATAAACCTATTTCTATTGTTTCTTTACATTTCTAATTTGCTTCTAGATATTGTCATTTTGAAATACCTGTAAATGCTTATATGTTTTAAATTATTGATATGACGAAACACTCTATAAATGATAAAACATAACAGCAGCAGCATCCCGTTGGTGACCCCTGCTCTAAGGGATCAAACTTAGAAGGTTAACTGTATCACATTCTGATTATCTTTATCAATATTTTAAAACAATAGAGTTTATTGACTAGCTTCTTCGTGCAATTAATGGGAACAAAATCACATCTGCAGGTTCTTCCTTGTTTGTTTTTTTTCATTCTCAGTTTTACACAAGCACAGGACATGTAAAAGATGCTGTGTGGACAACTGAATTATCCACATGTGCTTCATTTGAAGTGAATAACTCGTGCCTTTTAAAAGACACAGGATCAGTTTGAGCTAAAGAATCCTAAAAGCATCTGGATGAAGTTTTTTGATGTCAAAAACAGTAAAGCAAAGTGTCATATTTACTTTTAGCATAAATGGTTTTAATCCAAATTCTGACAAATTGCTTCGGTCAGGGATTGTTTCCATAATTGAAGGAGTTGCTCCCAGCTGGCTTCAAAAAATATAAACTCTCTCCAAAGAGCCGTGATCCACTCCCTAATCTCTCTCAGCTTGAATCAACTTTATTTGATCAATTTATTCTAAATTGCTTCTTGCCCCTTTTTTATAACTGTTAAATAACTTACCAAATTTAAAAATAGCTAAATTTGCGTTTCTGTCCTACCATAAAAAGAGTCCACACTGAAAAGTTTTATTAGTTGACTGATTAGGAAAACATAGTGTTTCTGAAGGGCCAGTGTTAATCTAAGCAGAAAATTGTCAGAATCAAGCATATTTCTGCGACATAGGCTGGATAGTTTCATTACACTTTATGTTCTGTCTGTAATTACAGAAAGCAGAGTCATGTTCCTACCGCTATATGTCTATACATCAGGCTGCAACAGTCAGGTCCACACATCTTGGATCAGTCCTACTTCTTGTATGTGTACAATGGAGCCTGTCAGGCTGCTCATGCAACCAATTTAGATTAAGTCAGTCCTAACTATGAGTGATGGGTGAGATAGGTCAGTTGCAAAAGCTATTACATAGTGGAAGATTGTTCAGAAATGACCCCACACCCTCTCTCTGCACAAAAAAACACTATACTAAAAGGAAAAAACTGCACAACCACATGAATGTCCACAAAATAACGCAGCCCATTCTTTACTCATGTTAGAAACGACCTGCATATTATACGGCTTGAGTGCCAGTGACATGAGGCCAAAGCAAATGAATCAGAATGGAGCTTGAAACGGAGCGGTGTCTGCTCCCATTAACCTGCACCCAGGTTGAAGTCCCAGAGAGCAGCCGACGTACTTTCCTGTGCAGAAAGAGAGGAATTTTTCTTTGAAGAAAACGCAATGTTCTCCAGATGCTCATGAGAATGGCTAAGATGAACCATCATTCAGGCTGTACTTGTTTTTTTTTGACATTTGAAAGATCAACAGTGAAAAAATGTGCCACAAACATTCCGGCCATCTAATAGCTCCAAAGAAACCCTTTCTTGCTCAAAGCTGCCTTGTAGCATACTTATTTTTTTTATTTGTGAATTTGTGGTTTCATATGGACACCAGGTTTAAATTCTTTATTGTGAGTTTTAAAATCTTTCCCTGCATGGTATGGACGTATTTTAATATCCTCTCCCCATGATTGCATCTATGGTGTGTATAATTTATGGTTATTATCCATTTCCTGAGCAGGGGAAACTGCAGGCCAAAGTTAATCTTTGGACATAAAGACAGATAGTATCAGACGAATGGGCAGGAGTGGGGGGAGGACATCCCTCAACTCTTTTAGATGACTTTCAGATGAAATATTGTAATGAAACATCCAAAATCTGTATCTTGTTTGCCCCAATTTTCTGACTTCAATATGCATATAAGAGAGCACCAGTGTCATCATTCATATTCATAGTCACTACTATCCTCCCATCTGTCATTTTTTTAATTATCTTTACCACGCCATTTTTTATTATGCCACCATAATATGCCCCCCAAGGATTAATAAAGCCTCTCTCAATCCAGGATCTCGCTTATCCGTAACTGTGAGAAGCTGCCAGCCCAGGAGCACTTTATTGTTCAGGAGTATCTGGACAAGCCCTTCCTGATGGAGGGCTACAAATTTGACCTGCGCATCTACATCCTGGTCACTTCCTGTGACCCGCTTCGCATTTTCTTGTACAAAGACGGCTTGGTTCGCATGGGCACCGAGAAGTACCACTCACCCAACGAGGCCAACCTGGTGAGTCAGAGGATCTTTATTTGTGTGGCAATTTTCTGCAAGCAGATTTGAAAATGCATACACCCACACAGTCATAGATACATTGCTTTTAAATCATAGCAGCTCAGTGATCCCTGCAATGAATATTTAAATTTAATTACATTTTTTACTATGTGACATAATAATAGACACAAAAAACATGGAAAATATGACCTAAAAATAACCACTTAGCAGGTATTTACTCCTATAAACACTCAGCAGGGTACGGTCAAAGCTGTCATTTTTTTCCTACGCATGCACAGAATGTGTGGACAGATTGTACACATGCAGCTGAGCAAAAATGTCTTCCTGCCAGATGTTTTCTGTGATGTCAAACCATTCATATTTGCCTTTAGGTTCTGCACCTGCTGAAGCACAGACTGTTGCAGATAAAGGGGGATGTATATGTTCACATGCGCACAGCTTTCATTCAAGCAAGATACATGCTTGTGTTAAGCATACACTCACACATGTATAGAGATGCTGGGCTCCTACAAAGACACAAGCTTGTATTGTCTCAGTGAATGACACATGATGGAGCGAGCGGCATCATGGAGATGGATGCTCCATTCCTCGGAGAGCGGCCTCCTGAGAGCCATCCGGGGCTGCAGTGGCCTGCAGGCATGGCGTTAGTCTTTGTCGGATGGGGACAAGGATGTGTTGTCTTTGAGTTTGAAGGATGGTTTGAAAGGACAGGGGTAGAACAATAGTTATAGGGTGGACAGCTGTTGTCATCTCGTTCAGTGATGCACGCACAGCCTATGAGAACAAATGGTTTGCTCTGTTCCTACTTCTTTTAGTCTCGCTACAGTTTACTGTGTTGTTTATTGTTATTCTCCAAACTATAAATGTTATTTTGGAAGCTGTTTTTTATCAAATAAATAGCTTTTTTTTCAAAATGTTGTAAGACATTTGATCTGAAATGTCATTTGGAATTTTGCTAATTACAGCATCTATAATTGTTCCCAGTTTGTTGAAAATCTGTAGGTAAATAATTAGCTGGCAGAAAAATGTTCTCACAAATATATAAAAGTTTTAGCCAGTTATCACTAAAGGCTGCTCCCTTTAGTGGAGTTGTTACCTCTGAGGTCAGGTATGCATTATAGCATACATGTTTAGGTAATAGCATCAGGGAGCAAGAAGGAAAATGTAAACATTTCTCAAAGCAAAGGGATTCACGATTCCCGAACCTTAATAGTTTGTCATATTAGAGTCATACGTTTGCTCATATCTTTTACCACATTTTATATGACAAGCAAATGCAAATCAGTATAAATTATGAACAAGTCTGTTTTTTTCTCCTTATTATAGCTTAAGCTTAATACAGGCTGGATTAAATAATTTCTCATAGACAATTTCCCAGTCTCACTTCATTCTGACTTGTATTTAGGTCTGGATGTAAACTGTGACATTCTAACTAATGTTAACTGTAAAAGACAGTGTGACTGAGCCACTCCACCCTAAGGCCTTTGGGTTGTCCTCGTCCCAGCATGATGCTGTCACTACTGTGTCGGATGAGCACACAGTGTGCTGTGTTGGTAATCTGTTGCACATACCTTATTGCATGTAAGGCATAAAGTTTAGGTCTCTCTTTGTGGATTTTGACATAGTAAATATATACATACTGTGAGGGGATATATTAGATTGATTCTATTTACTCATAAGTGGACTTTGGTACAAATTTATACTTTTATTTGTAAAATTTAAGCAGAAGTCTGACCAAACCCCACTAAGTAGTTATGGGAGTAGAAACATGTAGAGTGCAATTTTTTAATTTATTTATTATTATTTCCAGAGGTGTCAAAAAAATATTTATTACTCAAGTAGAAGTATAAATCCTATTGTTTAAAAACTCTTTTAGAAGTTAGAGTATTTACTTAAGTTTTTACTCAAGAAAAAGTGTTAATGTACAATTTTAAAACTAAAAGTATAAAAGTAAAAGTAATGCAAGCTTATAATGGGTACCGCACTACACTATTAAAGAAACATTTTTCCACAGCTTTGGATGATGATTTACTTATAATTAGTTTTCTTAGTTTTATAACTAATAATCAGAACTATTTATGTGAACAACAACCACAAAGAAATAAATTTTCTGGATGAAAGAAATTATTTTGATGTTTTTTTATTCCAAAAAGCCATAACAAAAATGAACTTATATGAAACAAAACTAAGGAGTATATATACATAATTCCTCCACTAAAGTATAGATGGCCAAAATTTCTACTCAAGTAAGATAACAAAATATTTGTACTTTATTGCTTTACACCTCTGATCATTTTGATAGGGTTGACAAGATTCAGGAAAGAAAATGTTCCTATGTTTGCTTCTGTGACTTTCTTTCTCCAGAGCCAGCTCTACATGCATCTGACAAACTACTCTGTCAACAAACACAACGAAAACTTTGAGCGAGACGAGACGGTGGACAAAGGCAGCAAGCGGTCCATCAGCTGGTTCACTGAGTTCCTCCGTATCAACGACTATGATGTGGCCAAGTTCTGGGGAGACATCTCAGTAAGATAAAAACACATCAGTTTCAGATATTTACTTTCACTAAAGGAAAGGGAATGTGTTACAGGAGAAAAGCAGTCCCTAAACACAAACAATGTCCTCAGCTATAAACTCCATGTATACTTTGATATATACACACAGGCTGCTCCTATCAACCAACTCAGGGCTGCGGACAATACTTAGGTTGACTAGATGAGGTTTGATTTGATTGGATATGACACTGATTCAGGGAGCTTGTTTAACACTCAGAGGAAACATCATTCCTGCAGGATGAGCTTTTCCTTTGGAACTCAACTCACACCTCAACCATTTTCATTTACTTTCATCATCACCAGTTTGGAAGATTCTTCAGGTTTTTTTCTTTATTTAGCCCTTTTCTATCCCTGCTGTGCAATTTAGTCCATTAAACCATCTCTTTGCGATTCTGCTCAGGTTTTTTCTCACCGTTTTCACCCTGACTCTTGGTACATAGTCATATGGGTTGCCCGCTGATGCTTGTTCTCACCTCCCTACTTGTCATGCTATGCTTGTATTTAAAGGAATTCTCATTGGCTGATGTTTTCTTCTCAATGAACAATTGTTCTTTTCTCCATAAGCACCTTTTCTTCTTTTTATTAGCTTTTTACTCTCCTTGTGTTTACATTTTCCTTTGTTCCGAGTTCTAAGAGGAAAAGTAGTTTTTATCTCATAAAAATCTTGTCTTTGTTCTTTTTGGTACTGTTTATGATCCTCAACTTTGTTTCATTTTAAGTTGGTTTTCTCTCCTCACAACAAATTTCCCTCTGGTAAAGACCAAGTACGCTGATGGGACTCTTGCTTCTAGTGTGAACATCTGAGATTTGTGCTTCCTCTTTAAATGTGTTGTTTGAGGTTGTGAAATACATTGGGCATAGTTTTTATTTTTTTATTTTTTTATGTGAAATGCCAAGTTAATGGGGCCAGCGTAAGGCCAAATCCAGTCTAGCCATTTATTTTACTGATATTGCCATATATAATCACCATCCGGTCATGGTGACAACAACACAGTTCGATGTTTATACATGTACTGTGTATAGAATACTCACACTTAGTAAGTGTCCTTTATTTGTTTAGGAATAATTTCCGAAGAATTGTAGAGATTTCCGAAAGAATTCAGACTACAGTACGGCAAAGACAAAGAGAGAGCAAAGGTTTCAGTTCATACTCACTGCTCATGTAGGTACTGGAAGGTTCCCATGGATTTGAAAAAATTGGAAGGATGACAGTGAGAATTTCCATTTACAAGAGAAAACACATGAAGACTATTTTCTCGATGATGCACAGAATATGATGTTTCCTTGTATGTATATGGGATATTACATACAAGGCTAAAAAAAAAACATTCCAATTTTTCTTCTTTTTAGCCTTTAAAGAAAAAATTTAACTGGCATGTCCAAGTTTTAGAGAAACTAGAATTTGGGAAGTCAGCCTTTCCACTTCAGACAAGAAATGTGCACTTTGTTTTTTTAACAGCTTATTTTACGACTAGACATTTAGAATCTCCAATGAAGTTCCTCACAGTCATACATAGCTGATACTCTGCTGTTTCATTTTTTATTTATTTTTTTCTTGGATTTGTATATGGTATATACAATAAACATATAGATTATATGTCTTGTCTGCAGCTGAAATGCTTGTGTAGACCATTAAGAAAAAGACAGATTTGTCTTTGGTTTATGCGCAATTTAAACGAAAACCGAATTACAGAAACTAGATCACAAAATCACAGGGCTTATGATATGATTCAGAATGAATGTTTATGTTGAGGAAAACCATTTAGACAATGCAACATTAAAAAAATAAATATAATTTGCATTGAAGAGTCCAAATGAGTTGGATGAATAGGCACATTTGGACAAACATGGGTAACCTAGTGCCATTTTTTGTGCCACAGGGTAAGGTAAGAGGTGATTTGGGCAGGACAAAGGACAGACAAACACACACAGAGCTGGTGTTGGGGTCTTGGGGTACAGACATGTTTAGGGGAGTAGGTTATGGTGCTGAATAGCCTGGGGGTAGACAGTGGATGGCTTGACATATACATGATGGTACATGAGAAACACACAGAGGGAAAAAGGATCAGGAGGGTGCAGCCTTATCAGGCTAAGACCAGACCACCTCATCCCCTCTCTCTTGCACCTAGCAGTCAGACTGGACTGGGCAAAATTGCAGGGCAGCAGCACTGCAAGGCGCCTGCCTGGTAAAGAGAAGCTTTGTGAAAAGTGTTTACATGTTTGTCAGACTGAGCATGTTTCCCACAGTGTTGTAGGCCAATAGGTAGCAGCCAGCAAAGATTTGGGCAAACACAGATGCATGCAGGTTGGATACCACTAGAAACACAGATGGAGCAGCATCAACAGTGGAGAACGTCTGTGTTTGAAGGGAATTCAAAAACAATCAGTGCCAATTACACTGTCTAATTATCAGTTGGTAAAAAAATAAGCAGTGAAAAGAAATAATCTTAGAGTAAACTGTAGCAGTTGTTGTCTCCTCTTTAGAGAATACATATCTTGGTCAAGATTGTTGCATACATTTTGTCTTGTTATTTTATTGATTGTTTTTTAAGAAGTCATGTAGCTTTTGACTAATAAATTTCATGTTGCTTTTGTTGTCTTTTTTTTGTCCTTGCTCTCTGTTAGGAGTTGGTGGTGAAAACACTGATAGTAGCTGAGCCGCACGTTCTGCATGCCTACCGCATGTGCCGCCCAGGACAACCACCAGGGAGCGACAGTGTCTGCTTTGAGGTCCTGGGCTTTGACATCATCCTGGACCGCAAACTCAAACCCTGGCTGCTGGAGGTAACAATCTGAAAATATGCAATTTTTTTTGAGGAAAAACTGTTTTCTTCTATATTTAATTTTAATTCATCTCACTACTTATTTTAAAAATATTTTCTATCATGGAAAAAATACAATTATTGAATCAACATACATTTTAAATTCTGAAGGAATCACTTTTCCATTTACTCACAGTTGTATGCTTCTCTCCTCGTATTAAGGGAGTAAGAGCAGCTGCCCAATTGAAGTACTGCGGCATAAGGAGCGAACAAACACTGATTTTGCTTACATACTCTTTCCCCACACCAAACACCCACACACCATCGAGGATCTATTTATGATTCTTTAAACAGCCAGAAGATACTGATATAAATATAAAGCATTGATTACACTCAAAAACATAGGAATGCCTTTATTTACAGGAGCATTATATAAATAAAAAAAAACTAAAATGACTAAAATGTATCCAGAGTGTGAAAATATAGGTCAAGATCTCATGTTCATTACAAATCAAGGATCCCATAAAATGAACGTCTGCCTCTTAAGGATCGGTCATTCCACAGATGGCTGGATTTTCACTCCGGGATTTCTGTGTTACCTTTCTGATGTCAGCCTGTCAGTTAAAGAGTGACCTAAATCCTTTAACCCAAAGTGCCTGCACCCCCCCCCCCCCCCCCCCCCCCCCAACACACACACACACACACTCCCCTTCCCACAAATTGGACTGAAAGACTGGAAATGCCGCAGGAATCGTAGCTTGTTTTTTTCCCTCTCTTCTTGCCAAAAAAAGAAAATCGTTTTTTTTTTGCAAGTTGCAAGTGTGCAACAAAGTGAAATTTGGGAGCTGTGCTTTTTCAATGGTTATTGTCTCTATTTATTATCGTTCTTTTTTTTTTTATTATAGAATAAAAATGTTGAAATCCATTTCATTTGTTGGTTTATGTGGAAAAGTTATAACTTAAAAAAGAAATGAAAAAAAAGGGGAACTTGGAGGATTGCCATGACGGGGTGTGTGTGTGTGTGTGTGGGTGTGTGTGTGTGCATGTGCGTGACACAGCAAACAGCCGTGAATGCAGTTGTTCCACTCCAGCAGTAATGATCCCCCCTGTGCTACCAGCAGCTCTCTATAACGCTCATCAATTAACATCCTGTGAACACACACACATACACACACACGGTATGTCCTGCTATCCTTACGGGGACTTTCCATTGACTTCCATTCCTTTTGCATTCACTTATATGGCTTAACCCAGACCTAAACCATTACCATCAGATAGCTAAACCTAACCTAAACTTAATTCATACATTAGTCCTAAAGCTAGGCCCCAACTCAAAAAGAAAACTGTTCCCCACGGGGACCGGTGGAGGGTAAGACCCCACAAAGTAGTATATTCCAGGGAAATTGGTCTAACACTGTCCTTGCAAGGTACCAGATACATGGCTTCACACACGTTCAACCCTGTTCTCTTTTTCAAAGAAATTACAGCAACAATCATTCATTTCCTAAATTCAGCTGATTAGTGGGGGCTCCTTTCAACCCATAGAAACAATGTCTACAATCGTTTATAAAGTCAATCCTGAAATTAGCTTTATTTCTCCTTTTTAACCTTGTAGTACGTTTACTCCCACAGGAAACAAAACACAAGAGACAACTGGTGTCCTATGGCGTTTTTTGTTAAGCTGCGTAATGTAACAGAATTTCACTTTTTCCAGCTCGTTTTCTGCTGAAAACTGCCACAGTCCACCTTAGAGACCAAAACATGATGAGAGCACAGAGGCTGGTTTTGACTTTTTTTGGACATTTTTCAGTTGTGTCATCCTGAATTACACGTGCCACGCCTCCACAGGGCCTTTGACAGATCGCTGGTCCGACAATGTTCTCTCTTACTCTTCAGGACGTCAAAGCCAGCTGTTGAACATGCAAACTTGCGGCCAGGAAATGAAAGTTCAACCTGTGTAGACTCAAACTCAGCCGGATACCTGAAAGCTAGATGGTATCATGTATAGGAATCTGTCAGGTGATATTAGTGTTCCTATTTGAATTTGTGTTTTTGTCAGCGGCCTCATGGACATATCTTGGAGGATGAGATGGAAAAAGAAGAATTCCTGCAGTTTACCAATTATATTTTCATAAATAGAAAAAAAAATCTTTTTTTTTAAGGGATTTAAGATTATTATATTTAAGATATTTAAGATATTCTACTTAGTGTTACTGCAGTTTAGTTTTAAATAATTGGATGAGTTTGCTCTAAGATATTATTTCTTCAAAATCTCAGCTCACTGAAACAAGACAAATACCACAAAATCACATACTGGACATAATAGAGAAAACAATCCAAATAGCTGCACACACCTGCTAAATAGCTTGTCACAGGGGTGAAAACATAGAAGACAAGAGCGATGACTCACAAACCGAGGGGAGGCATCAAACAGATGCATTGTGCTCTAAGCAAGTATCGAAATGGGAGAAGAGAAGGGGCGACAAAAGGGAGACACAGGCTTTTGTGTGATCGTTATCTTAATTCTGCAGGGTCTCAACACAAGTTTTACCTTCTATTGACATTCAAAACATCAGTGCTACACACAGAGACGCATCAGCACACGCACACTCGCCCAAATGGCGTAACCCGAGACATTCACTTTCATTAAAACAGGTCCAGACAGCATCTGTGTCTCGTACAGGAGAGGCGTTTCATTGAGACGCAATGTTCGCTGCGCACACACTCACCAGTGGCCGCAATCTGCTGTAACTGTAGCTTATTTGGTCTGAGGAAAGGTTTTTGCTTGCAGCCGTCTTAGTTATCTTAAAGAAATATATTTAAAAATGAAAAACAAAAGAAAAAAAAAATCAATGCACATTCCCTCATAAATTGTTAATGAATTTGATGCCTTAAAACTTCGGTGTGAGCGTCAAAGGGGGAAGACACATGACTTGAAATCTAGTGCGAGCCGTAAGCATTGCAATAGATCACTGGACAAACAAAGAAGGCAAGGGAACAGTTTCATCGACCCCTTCCTTATCCAGGGTGCGTGTCCTGTAAACCAGCATGAAATGGAAAGATATCAGAAGTTTGAAGACGAGGGAGGAGAGAGGATGAAGCACAAACACACATTGAACCAATGACCATTACATTTTCAAGCTTTGATAAAAACTAATATTTAAGAAGCAGAATTACACAATTTACAAATAAAATAAAATAAATCTATAATACAGTATAATAATAATAATAATACAGTAAACGTAAGTAGAGAAGTTTCCACACCCTGACTGTCTGGTTTTTTGTAAAAATTTCAAACCCTATGTTCATATATTCTATAGTAAGGACACCAAACCCTATTTTTATCCTTAGTTTAAACCTTGCAGTCTTGACACAAGTGAAAAAATAATAATTTGCTAAACGCCATATTAATGTAATTACATTTTTTTCATATTTTTTTTCCACATATTAATTTAAATTTCAATAATATTTGATTGAATTGTTTTTATTCAGAACTGAATCAAAATTGAAGACCCACCTTTTCCTCTTACTATTAAAACATATTGGCATCGCTAAATGTTTCCTTTTAAAAGAGGATAAAAGAACATGGACACAGTTTGTATTATCGGTGGGTTAAATTACCGCAAGTCGTTTTATAGGTCTCTTAAAAAAGAATCAATCAGGCAGCTGCAGCTCATCCAAATAGCTCCTGCCAGAGTCCTGACCAACACCAGGAGTGTTGAACACATTACACCAGTTCTTCAGTCACATGCTTTATATTTGTTAAATGGCTTTAGGTCTAAAGCTCTTAATGATTTTGAGCAAATATATATTTCTGAGTTGTTTATTAAGTAAGAACCATGTAGACCACTAAGGTCTGTAGGGACCATCTTACTTATTGTTTTTAGGACCAGATCTAAACAAAGGAAAGGAGTTACTTAGTTCCTCAGCTCCCAGAAAGCATAAAATTTGCAGAGGCAGTAGACTTCTTTCAATCCATACTGGAACATTGTTTTTTACTGCAAGTTTCGATAGAATTGTTACATTTATTGCCCCAATTACTGATCAGTGATTGAAGTTTGAGATTGAAGATTAAATTAGCATTTCAACATGTTTTTTTTCCTTTTTAAACAGTGCTTTTCAAAGCTTTAGTGTTTTTTTTTTATTTCAGTCTATTTCTTTTGATTTTATGTAAATCATTCTGGATTCATTTGTGTATGCATGGTGGCATATAAACAAACTTGCTTTGCTTTCTTTGTGTTTGCACTACTTTCAGAGTGAGATCTAAAAAACAAATGCTGTAACAATGATCCTAATCCTTTTATTTTGTGGCATTGTTAGTCACTGTTACATATCTTAAATGATAAGGTTTTTTATCTTACCTTTGTCTTTATGCAGTATTCCTTCTTCCAGCTGCTATATAGGTGAACTCTAAAGTGCCTTGAGATGACATGTTTTGTGAATTGGCGCTATAAAAATAAACTGAATTGAATTTATATGTTTAAGCAGCCTAATTTAAATATAGTGAGAGCAATTTCTGGTCTTTCTTGCAATTTCTCTGGCAACTAGGATAAACTCATAGGAACGATTTAAAGGGAAAACATGACATACTTAAAATCTTAACTTTTTAAAACCTTGGTTCCTTTGATACCAGTAACCATGCCATGATTTGTAACAAAAAAATACAATATGAAGAAAAAAAAAAACATTGTTTATATCTGATTTTGAAGGCAACAAGAGCAAAATTTATGTCTTTACGGTTTTATCCGAGTTCTGACGGGTAACAATGATTCCCTCTGCTATGATCAGTGGACTGAAGGCTACCCTCATTATAAGCTTATAAGCTCTGGCTCACTACTTCTTTCTTTCTTTTTGTTGTGCATTGTTTCCCCTCATCAACCATAAAACTCCAGCTGCTCAGCTCTAAACAAAAAGAAAGTGTCTTTAATGAGCCTAAAAAAATTTTTTTTTACTCGGTCCCAAGGCAGATTATTCATTTATTTATTTCTTTTTTAGTGGTGGGTTCTTAGCACCTTAAAAGGC